CGCTACACAGCACCAGCGTTGTCTCGTGTAACATCGCGGGATGGAACAACCTCTGGCGGATATTTCCCACCTCAGCCTATTCCAAGAGGTGCTCAGCGTCCGTCATTGCCTCCACTCTCAGCCTCGCAGTCTCACGCAAATGGCATGGCCCAGCGGATGCGATCGGCTAGTAGCCCTGATATTCATCATCACAGTAACAATCCGGAGTCACGGCGTTATATGGGAGTGCACACTATGCAGACCGTCGACAATGTCCCCGTGCCACCGATCCCTGCGCACATGGCCAACATGATAACCCCCGTCAACCGCAGCCAGAACGGTTCGCCCACCAACACCCAGCTCCCCATTCGTACCCAGCCCCAACTCCACACGACGCACTTTAACGAGCCGGAATATAATGATACCCGCAATTCTGGGCAAATCTCCGATCCTGCCACATCGCCCCTGACCCAAGAGCCAGAGGAAGGAGACTACATGCCCACTCAACTCAAGGCCAAGGTGAATTTTGAGGACAACTATGTCACGCTGGTAATTGCGACCAACATTATGTTCCGGTCATTGACGGACCGCGTGGATGCCAAACTCGCTCGGTTCACTGATCGATCCATCGGGAGCAAAAGCGTCCGGCTGCGCTACCGGGATGAAGACGGTGATTTCGTCACGATCGATAGCGACGAGGCGGTCCAGCTCGCTTTCCTGGAATGGCGGGAACAACATCGTGATATGCTCGCCAAGGGCTTGGTGGGAGAGATTCAACTCTACTGCCAGGTGGTCGATTAGATCCTTCGTTTTCTTGTTTGCTTTCCGCTCATTCTTGACTTAATACCCTCCCTTGATTCCCCCCGGCGAGGATTGATCCTCGTCGTTTCAATGCTTTGCATCGCCTGTGGCGCTCGTTCTCCCATCCTGACCCTTATTACCCAACTGGATTTGGCCTGAAACTGTTGAGCAGCCGTTCTCGGGGGAGATACTTCTTTCTATCTCCCCTTCTTCTTTGTGACTTTCAGCGAGCCACGCCGTGGCAAACATGTAGTTGGACTGTGGCGTCTCCAGGCGAGCATCTAATGATTTGTTTACGGCATGAATGATGTCCTGGTGACGAGGTGAAGGGATAAAGACGTCCCGTTTCTTTTTTTCTGATTTTGCGTTCCCATTTCGCGGATTGTTATCTTCTTTACTGATCTACTAGTATCTCAATGTCCACGAACGTACGAAGCTTCCATATGATATATATGCCTATTTTTCTATATTTTCCGGTGGAATTTATACCAGACCTATAATCCGTATCCACATGCCTATCAGATCGGGATGCCGGAGCAGGTCGGATAGCCGATATTCTTGGCAAGGCCAGGTTAGTCTACTCCGTACAGCTACGATGTATACGGAGTAGCTATAGCTCTGTGTTATAGCTCTGTATGGGAATAGCTATATTTATATTAGCAGCTGAATATTATACCCGAAACGTAGTTCCGGCACTCCCGGCTACCATTCGGAAGATCGCCCACTAAAAGACTAAATAGGAAATATCTCAAGATCACACCGTATTGGTCTGCGCTATTAATATATGCGCGGAGCGCCTGTTGCCCCTGAGGATTGAGGGAATTATGAATAGGAGTCGAGTCGGTGAGCTCGTCCTAGTATGTGTTGGCAAGCGGCCTTTGCGTCCTATAAAAGAGACCCGGCTCGCTGCAGATGGCTTTTTTCTTCACTTTTGCCCCTCCCACTTCCGAGAGTTCCCTATTTTCCTTATAAGAAAGGAGCTGTAATCATTTTTATAATCAAACCAGAAAACTCGCAAGAATGTCGTTCTCCGGCCGCCGCCTGAGCATCCTACGCCCGTCCGAGAACCGCAATCCCTCGGCCAAGAAGGACCTGTCGGATAACGGTATGCAATGACACGTTTCTGACATTTCTAGCTTTCTAACTTTGGAAACCCTCAGAACTCAACTCAGAAACCCATCGGCAATTTCGAGAGGCTCACGAAGGTCACCGTCCCCACGCCGGTCTCGACGCTTCCCGTGCCTCCACCGGTGTCGTCTGGTGCACAGAGCGAGCCTGCGAGCATGGCTACGCCGATGATCCTTCCAGCTGGGCCAATCTAGGTCAGGGAGCCCCCGAGGCTGACGACGGCATTGAGGGAAGTTTCCCTCGCCCGACTGCTATTCCCATCACATCCGCTTCCCGGGAATATGGCCCGACCGCCGGTATCAAGCCATTACGCGCGGCCGTCGCTCGTCTGTACAACGACCACTACCGCCAGGGCAAGGAGAGCCAGTATACCTGGGAGAATGTTTGCATTGTCCCCGGTGGCCGTGCGGGTCTGATTCGCATTGCTGCCATTCTCGGAAACTCGTATCTGTCCTTCCCCATCCCCGATTACTCTGCGTACTCGGAGATGTTGTCTCTGTTCAAGAACGTGCGTTAGAAGAGCTGAGCCCGGAATATTGCCGTTTACTGATTCCCTGCAGATTGCTCCCATTCCCCTGCCTCTCTCCAAGGAGGACCACTACCACATCCACCCCAACAAGATCGCCGAGGAAATCGCCCGTGGCACCCAGGTGTTGCTGACCTCCAACCCCCGTAACCCCACGGGCCACTTCATGCCACAAGACGAGTTGCAACAAATCCAGGACCTCTGCCGTGACCGCGCGACTCTGATTCTGGACGAGTTCTACGGCGGATACAACTACACAACGGGCTGCGACGGATCAACGATCAGTGGTGCATCGAACGTTGTCGACGTTGACAAGGATGGTACGATACCCGCGCCGAAAACCTAATTTTTGATCATGGGCTAACCGGACCCATAGACGTTCTCCTGATCGATGGGCTCACAAAGCGGTTCCGCCTTCCGGGCTGGCGAATTGCGTGGGTGGTCGGACCCAAGGATTTTGTCAACGCCCTGGGTTCCGCAGGATCGTACCTCGACGGTGGTGCCAACGTGCCATTCCAAGAAGCCGCGATCCCGATGCTGGAGCCGTGGCTGGTGCGCACGGAGATGAAGGCGCTGCAGCAGCACTTTATGGAGAAGCGCGATTACGTCCTGGGCCGTCTGTACGATATCGGTTTCCGTGTCCAGGACGTCCCCGGCGCGACCTTCTACGTCTGGCTCGATCTGACTTCCATCGAACCCCCTCTGCCTGAGGAGGCTAACATTTCCGACGGTCTGAACTTCTTCAGTGCACTGCTGACCCAGAAGGTCATCGTTGTGCCTGGTATCTTCTTCGACTTGAACCCGGCCAAGCGTCGCGATCTCTTCGACAGCCCGTGTCACCACTTCGTTCGTCTGAGTTACGGGCCTAAGATGGATGTGTTGAAGCGGGGTCTTGATGGTATTGAGCGTGTTGTTAAGCGTGCTCGTCTGATGGGCGCGCCCAAGTGGGATGCTGAGGTTGCTGTTGCGGATGAGTAGGCTTTTTACTTTCACCTTTTGTGTCAACACCAACTTGCTAGCTCGGCTGGTAGCTGGAAAGGGGTTTATAGGAAGGCTTAGAGAAGCTACGTTAGAGTATTCATGCACATATTTCAGACTGCGTCTTGTCTTTTCTCGAATAACCATACCTAACATAACGACCTAACATAACGGAACACGAGGTCAGCATTGCATGTACCACGCAAGTACCGATATCACGCAACTTGTGCTCGTGTTCAAGCTGAGGAGGGGTGGTCAATATCGCACCGGCCCAATCTCCTCCCAGCTAGCCTCGGTCAAAAAGCCATTCACCATGTGCTCGCGACATTCTGACAATCTGACAATCTGACATTCTGACTACTGAGAGCCTTAACTAGTTACCCAATTTCCCCAGTTACCCAATTTCCCCAGCCAAGCCACATCAGCCCCCATTTCCAAAAATCTCCGATCAGCCTTAACCTCGGGAATCCAAGACTGGTATTCGCATCTTGTATCTGTGCCAGGATAGCTATTCCTAGATAGGAGCCTGGTCTACATGGTACAACATCTTTATCCAGCCCGGATGACGTCGCACGAAAAAAGGCTTATAAACGCAGCCGTTACCAGCGTCGTACACTGAGATCAACTATATTATTATTAACTGTACGGGGTAGGAGTAAGTTATTGTACGCCCAGGTGGATATGGATATGGACGTGATATGGATACACACACTGTGATAGGCGCCGGTATTTTCGTCTAAAGTTTCCAGATGCGGTTAGGGTGAGTGCCTGGGGCATCTCTTGAGAATTCAGAGAACGGGATGGCTACAAGTTAGTTAACTATGGCGTCCTGTATTTTAATGCTGAGGAGATGATTTGCATTTGGACTTGAATGACGGACATGTACTACTCGTATTAAGACTCATTCGTGTCACGATAGAAACCGTATAAAACGAGGATCCGATCTGAAAACAGATCTGGTTAGCACGCCTTAGGGTGGAAGAACCAGATAGAGTGGGTTGATCTGATGTAACAGAATGTCTATGTTGTATCTCCTCGGCACACATAGCTTCACTTTAAGATGTTGATCTATGGATCCCGCGTAATCTAGACCAGACATCCCTTCAATACGAACTCTGGTTCATCGAACTCCTTTCCAGAAGATATAATTTTAGAACGTTGAAACTTTCTAGCCGAGCGGTAATTTCAGATGTATTTGTTTTTTCGCTGTTTTTTTCTGTGTATTGTCGTTTCCAAAACCAAATTCGAACTTTGAGATCGGCCTGAGCCGCAAAAATACCCGAACGGACTGAAATCCGTCGATCGCTCGTATCCAACTTACCATTTCAAGGTCCGACCCACGGCTTCATTGTACCTGGACATCGCCTCGATTCGGAAACGACTTCGCGTCCAACTCATTGGATAAACCCCGATCTGAGATGAACGCGTCCTCTACCCCATTCCACAAAGCTTGTTTCGGAGGTCTCATGGATCGGGCTAGTCTGACTCTAGATAGAATAGGTCATGAGTTGGGGATTCTCACATTATGTATAATATAATGGAATCGAACTGGATACTCCACTTCTCCTTGGACTCCTCTTTTCTTACCATGCCCGATGTAGACGGCGCAGGTCTTATCGGGGACCACATGGAACCAGAAACTCACCGGCTAAGAGGTGAGGTTTCGAATTGTCTTTGACAGGTTACATTGTGGATTTGCCAAGTGTTTCTTTCCTGTTGCTTTTGGGCCAATGTGGTTCGGTCGATTATTCAGTACGATAATATACTAGATTACCGTTCCAATACACCAGTACCGGAGTCCAGTGGACCTTCGGGAACGGTCCATAGCGTCCGCAATGTCAAGCGTTGTGACAATACCATACCCGCACCTACCAGGTTCTGTGCCGTGTACCCCGGTGCTCCCGAAGGCCCAAGCTCCTGACTTTGGATACAACATACATACATAGTAAGTATACAGTATATAGTATATATTGTAGTTACCGTATACAGTATACAGTATAGTATAGAATGCAAGTACGTATATCATTTACATACTTCCTTTTGATAGGTTTGAAATAACCCCGATTCAGATAACTACCCGACCAGGGGTTCTTACACACTACATACCCCTTTAGGAAAGTAGTTAAAAGCTGACGTCTCCACCCCGCGTCAACACCGGCAAGCCAGACTCCGTGCAACGGCGCCTACTATTAATTACTTTTGTTTTACGGAGTACTCCGGAGTGCGGAATAGGAAATAGCCTATGTCCTAACTCCGACACTAGCTATATAGTTACATTCTGTGTCGTCATCTTCCATTTTTCTATCCAGAACCTATACACAATATACAGCATAGGGATATCCATTATAACTATACAAAATACACATACACATCATAATTCCTGGTTCTAGCACTTCATATCGAGCTCTCTGAATATTCACACGGCAGTCCAGCTTCGGTGGGTCCATCCTCCTAATCCCCCTTAGATCGCCGTTAGAAAATACCCCCACACCGACTCTTAGGACCGACCCTAGGGATCTCACAGCGGAGCTTATTACGGAGTACGGAGTACTTACTTACTCTCCTATACCTACTATAAGTATTAGATTGCAATCAGGAAATGAGTCCATAGCCGATCAACCCACAAGCGGAAATAGTTGCGCATAGCTCTTCCCTTCCAACCCTTGAGGCTTGCAGTTCTTGTCCTATTTCTCTCTGCTCCGGTATTGCGCTTGTTGCAAAATAGGTTTCAAAAATACTGCTGTGCTTCGATGTCGCTCGTATGATGTCCTCCATCTATTGCCTGCCCCTGGAGAAAAATCAAGGCCGAGTAGCCTGATACGAGGAGAAAAGGCTTGGCTTGGATTGGGCAGTCGCTGGATATCATGCCTCATTTGATTTCTCGATTCAGTGAATCAGCTTGTTTCGTTTTCGGATTGCATGTTCCATCAAATTTGCGTCTTCCACCATATACACGCAAGATTGAACCAATCACCATCGCGCATATTCCCTCTCATCCCACCCCGACATATCCTGATACAATATAACCCAGCAAGCGATTAGATTAGATCCTAGTCTCGCCAGGGAATGTATATGCGCCCACGGGAGTAGCTGCCCCGTTAAGCGAACTTGAAACTCCGGTACGCCCGCCCAATGCCATTTCCAGTCCTGATCATCGCCCGAAGTCTGGATTTGCATTCGCCGGGGCGGATTCTCTACGGAGCTACGGGGTACGGAGCACGGAGTCCAGCCTTACTTACTTACCTACTACCTAGTTATATTATATTGCATGGCGGCTCGGGAAGTTGGGCCCCATCGCAGGACGGGAGCGCCACTTTGTGATTTGGTAGATCGATTGGAGGGAGATAAAATGAATACTAGTAGTATACATCACTAACTACGGAGTAGCTAGGCTAGGATCAGTAAATTAAAGTCTCAGATGGTAGAAGCGAGATGAACAACTCTCGGGACCCCGTCAAGACTCCACGATTGGGGGTATTGGAGACAACTAGTCAAACCAGACCCCGTTTTCAAGGCTAGCACAACGCCCAGTTTGCGTAGTTAGTTTTGTGACTTGCATGTGGGAGGGGCCCCATGAAACACGAGAAAAACACGAGGAAACACACCACGGAGGCACTTATATTGTTACTAGTATACGAGATAAATCGTAGATCACCTCGGCTCGAAGTAAGTAATATGAGGCTTTTTGCGTCCACCTACATAGATTATAGAGTAGTATAGAGTAGTAGCGTCCGGAATAGTGCGCAGGTACATACATACATACCATCCAGTCCGCCGGGAAAAGGCCCGACAGGCCGGGTCTTTGTGTCCTTATTCTCCTCCGGCTGGAAATAAATTGGTGATCCTTCTGGAGGCGGGATCTACCGGCCCTTTCACCTTCCACACGTTCACCGGGGTTTATCTCCCCACTCTCGGACGGCTTTGGTGCCCCCTCCTGCCCCCCCTCCCCCTGTGACTATGGATCTGCGTTGGTGTCTAGGCCCAAAAGACCGGAGACCCCGTTTGAATATTCAGGGAAAGAGATCCCCGCGAAACGAAAAGGAGAGGTAAAACGACAGACAGTCATCAGGAGAGGCTGTAGTATTCCATTCTATTTCAAATCGGAAATGGTATCCGCCTGTAGTTTGAGAGCCTTACAGTAGCCTGACAACCCAAAAGAAAACCGGTTTCGGGCTGCAGACGATAGTCGAATAGAAGGATGTCGATATTTGCACTATGTACAATGGCGTGGGCTACTCGTCCGATCGAATGTTGTTTTAATTCAATTATTTTGGGTCAGATATTCGAATTAAATCTACTTCCTGGCATTTCCCCTCCATTCCTCGATTCTGATTGGCTGCATCGTATATATATCTCTATGCCAATGAATCCCAAGTACCTTGTACGTACCTTCCAACCCAACCCAACCCCGTATACAATCAAACAAACCTACACAACCTCCCTAGTACGCAGATGTCTCACCAAGGTCTCGTCTCGTCTCGAGAAGCGGCAAAGGCAAACAGACCCTTGTTAGAAAAAAAGAGAGAAATTTTCCTATTCGCCACACGGCCTGTCCAGGGCCAGGGCCAGAGCCATGTAACTACATTAACACTAACACTAATACTAACACACTAGTTAACCAAGGACTATTCTGGACCCGGTACCCCCACGGAGCTGTCGAGTGGTATTTTGATTTGCTACCAGTGGCGATATTGTTCTAGGCAGAGTGCAACGTTGGATATGAATCGAAATCGGTTACTCAATAACTATGCAGAGCAGGGAACTAGTGCGTGTCCGCTTTGGTGGAGACTAAGTAGTCTGGTAGAGATAGATCCCTACCGAGATATCCACCAGGATTCGTCTAGTAGGTAATAGGTAATAGGTAACTACGGAATATGTCTGAGGGATAAAACAACTTGTTGTTGCATTCGGGATTTCGGGGAAGGGGCCGAATGGATTCTACAGGGGTGTTGTTGAAGGCAGACAAATGAATCATGATACTGTAACTAGTTATGTTGTAGTTAGTTAGAGAGTAGTTAGCGAGTCATGGAAATATTTGTCTAGATCTCTGAAGTGTCCTTCCTAAAAGAGAATATTAATCAATATAATTGTCACCGATTCTAGAAGGGTAAGCGAAAACGATTGCGAGAAAAAAAAACGTCTTTGTTAGCGAGACAGGGTTGCGCTCCTCGAATTTCCCTTGGCCCTTGGCTCTGTCCTTGGCTTTCCGAGGAAAATGGGGCCACCGCGTGTAAAAAAAAAAAAAAAGAAAAGAATCTGGAACAGAAGGAATGGAGAAGCCCACGAGTCATGCCATGTAATTTATTTCGATCAATCAGACATGATGCTCTATGAACTATGTACTCCGTAGTTCGAGAACTAGTTCGAGGATGTAGGATAATATGAGAGGCTGAGAAGAGAAGTGAATATACGATGTGGAAAGGATTTCTGTTCAAAGGCTAAGTCTTGGAGCCAATCAGAGTGCAGTTTCCATCGCAGTAATATTCCTGGGAAACAACTAGCTGTTGCTGATATATCATTGGGCAATATCAGAATGTCCGTCTTAAGGAAATTCTTGGGTGAAAATAGACGACCAATACACGCAGGGGTAGGGAATAGAACAGAAAAAAAGAAGAAAGAAGAAAACATCCCATGTTCAGGTATCAAGAAAAGATTCGCCGAGAAGGGTAACACCTTTGCCTCCGTTTAAAATGACAATATATAGAAAAAAGAATAACATAATATCGAGGGGGAATCCATAATCAAAGCGCCGAAACCTAGAAATGGAGCAGAGATAGGAACCAGAACCAGAAACAAACATATGCGGATTTCTGATCTGCAAAAAAAGCAAAGGCACAGCCGGAGAAAGCAGGGAAAGTCGTAACGGGCATTAAACACACATTGGGTCCACAATCTAGGTGGAGTCTCGTCTTAGCCTACTCCCAAAAAGCCCCAGTCAGTCCCTTCGGCTTGGTTCAAGAGACGGGAGCCTGGGGGTTTGTACGCATAGTTTGGGTGGTATGAAACCATCATTGGCTGTTCGGGTGGCAGTTGATGGCCTTGAAAAGACGGATGTTGGTATTGTTCTGGGAGGTAGTTGGCACGCGGACTGGTCTCGTAACGCTGTTGCATCATCTGTAGATATTGTTGGTGCTGCTGCTGCTGCGGATGCGCATGGTGCTGCGGGTGTGGCTGTTGCGGGTGTGGCATGTTTACCGGCGAGGATCCAGGTACAGGCTGCGGCACGATCGGAGGGGCAGCTTCGTGAACCGGCACGGAGCCCATCGGCACGCTCTGTGGCGAGTAATACTCATGACTCGGCGTCGCCGATTGCGGGTAATACGGTTGCTGGCCGAGCATGTACTGCTCACCTGGGCCCGAGACCGGCACGGGTGTTTGGTGGTACGAGTGCTCGGAGGTCGCATCTTCTGAGGATGGTCGGGTCAAGCTCCCTGGGGGGTGGGAGCGATGTTGGTGTTTGGTGAGGGTGGTCTTGCGACAAAAACTGCAGTTTCAACAAGACAATTAGAATAGTGCTGTCGACTTTCCACGCAGAGTACTTACCTGCGTTCGCAGGTAGGTTCATGGCATATATATGGTCGCTTGCCGGTGTGGATTCGGCGATGACGGGCCAAACTCGACGACTATAATAATCAGTAAATGGAGTAAATGCGCAACATACAGATTCAAGCCCTTACATCTGAAAATGCCTTCTGACAGCCTTCATGGTCACAGACATGGGGCTTCTCGCCAGTGTGGGTCCTCGAGTGTACGGTCAAGGCACTGCGCTGAATAAAGCTCTTGTTGCAGTCCTTTACAGTGCAATGATACGGCCGCTCATTGGTGTGAATGCGATAATGGCGACAGAGATCGGATTTGCGATTGAAAGACTAAACCGGTTAGAGGATGACGAGTAGAGCCCGCGGAGAGACACCCACCTTCGCACAATGCTCCCACGAGCAGTTAAAGTCGCGCCCACTGCCTGGAGCCATGGTGAGATCCGAGAGCGCGAATAGCTAAAGCGTGGACTTGAAAAGCCAGGAAATAGACAAAGGGGGGGAGAGGGGAAAGAACGTAAGCGCATATGCGATCGCAGACGACCTTGAAATCAGAGAAAGAGATCCCTGGTCAGGCTGGATTGGTAGCCGGGATGTTGCGAATGCAGAGCATAATATAAACGAAATGCGCTGACAGAGATCAAGATCCAGAAGAGGGGAGCCTCAAGTATTAGAATATAACCTTGAAGGGGGAGGAAAAACGGCGCGGATGGGACCGTAGAAGAGCATATTTATTTTATTTTGGTTTTATATCGGTTATTTATTATATTTTCTTTTATTATATATATATTATTTATTATATTATTATTTCCCTGAGGTACCAGGTACACTCGTTGATATATCCTATATACGAACAGGCCTATCAGCGAGCAGCTTAAATATCACTGCCTAGCTCGACACTCTCTTTCTCTTCCTAATTCATTCCCAATTTGTACAAAGAAATACATGTCTCAACTCGACAGGGTAACACATCGGCAAACCGTCTAATACCTGTGGAGGTAATTTATTTCTAAACCTTCAGACTCAAACTTTGACTGTCAACGGGATACCTCTCAAAGCGTGAAAGTGAAAACCGGTAAATTGCGATAGCCCATGGAAAAAAAGAAACCCCCACATTACCAGCTTATTTACAGTCATGTTTCATTAATATTTAAACCCCAGTACATCGGAAGGCCGAGGACCCACTTATTTTCTGCCGGTAGGAAACTTCACATTCAAACCCCCTATATACTGACTAGTAACTACTAACGCGTAGTGCGCACGGGAGGTGTATACTAGTAGGAATAGGCAGGCGGTATAAAAGAGCGGTCAGTGGTGGAAGTACTGGGGTTTAAATATTAATGAAACGCCACTGTACCAATGCCCCACCTCGGCCCCCGAATGACAAGACATGCTAACCGGACTGGGCATGGTATGGTATGGTATGGATACGGTGTATATGACCGTATTTTTGAAACCAGTTCTTGGCCCCTTTAATATCGAACTACCTAACTAACTAACTTGGTAACGTAATTCACATACGAGCCGCCACCACATACGACCCGCCACCCCATTCAATAATCTAGTTTTTAAATACATTTATCTCAACCATAACGCCATTAAATTAAATCAACTAACTAAGTGGTCTATCTGGATATGTTTCTCTTCTATGCCCTGGCAATCTGCATATTCCACACCCCCGGGGGGCGCGTACGTGGTTGAATAGTCGATTCTCTAGGTATGCCGGGGCCGGGGGGAGGTGCTTCAATTGCTTCTTGTTGCTGCATAATTAATGCAGATGCTTCTTGAACAGAGAGGCCTTCTTCGGTGGGTATCTGCCTTCTAGATCGGGTCCGTTTTTGCTTCTTCTTCTCATTTTCATCCCGTAACTCCTTATTTTCTTTCGCTAGTAGAATAGCGTTATGTATTGCAACTTGGCAGCCTTTGATAAGTTGGTTTAATGCACGTTTAGAAGGACTTGTTGGGCTTCGAGATTGTGTACGAAGTAAAGCATTGATTAACGAAGCCTATCGACGTAGATCTTTCCCGGTAGCAGGGGTTTTTGGTGTAAAATTCCGGCTTGAGTCACTACCCCGGCTTGGAGGGGGGTAGGTGTTCGAAGCTGGATATTTAGCTTCGAAAGTACCCGATTGGGTGAAAAGGGTACTAAACCGGCTGTTGAGAAGCTATTTTTAATTGTCTCCGATTTAAAAGCTTCAATTCGTATAGTGGGGTATGCTTCGAGAAAGTCGAGTTTATCAATATGGTTGATCCCGTGCTGTATTTTCGTTTCAACCAACCGACTATATATACGTTTTGAGACCGCAAAACAGCCGATATCGAGCGGTTGTAAAAGGTGAGAGGAATGCAGTGGCATATAAATTGGTATAATATCGTTTTACTCGCAAATTTCATCGAATTTTGGTGTTAAATGGCTTCCATGGCCGTCGAGTATTAAAAGTCGATACCTTCCCACCATATGCGATAAAGTCGATGGTATAAAGAGTTTCTGAAGCCAGCGAAGTCCAATTTTATCAGAAGTCCAACCGTTTGGACTAATTTCAAAACGCTAATCATCTGGAAGGCCGTTGAACCAAGATTCAATAAAGACTTTGCCTTTAAAAATCACGCATGGAGGAAGCGCCCACCCTGCCGCATTTGTACATTCAATCATAGTTACCTACTCGCGATTTCCAGGTTGTAAAAGTGATCTCCGACCGTAGTATTCACTTCTAGTTATAACCTTTGCCGTTACGGTCAATCCTATAGCAAAACCTATCTCGTCAAAGTTATAAACATCGTCCGGATCGATTCTATACTAAAGAATGGTTTTTTGAACCAGATCAAACCACTCTCCAATAATCCTTAGGTCTTCACATTTCGCGCGCTCGTAATTATAATGTCTTGAGAATCGGGATATAAGGGTAGGGTACCGTTTAACAAAATGTATAACCCAATTTTGGCCAACTGAAATAACCGGGGTGGTTCCGCGTTGTTTAAGAAGAAGATCCGCCATTTCTCGTACCATAGAGGGCCGGGGGGCCGATCCACAAGAATCCATAGAGATTATCCATTTTCGAAGAGATTCCTCTTCAATTGCGGTCAATTTAGTCAAGTTGGCGCGAGAAGTCGCGCGTTGTTGTATACCACTGAGGCGGTCCCGAAGGGTTGAACGCGGTACGTTAAAAGTGCGGGCGGTAGTAGAAATATTGGAAAATTCTTGATTCTTAAAAGCCTGGATAGCTAATAAGATCCTACCCTCTTTCTCTATTGAATCTTTAGAGGATTGAGAGCGTTTTGGTGGCATGGTGGGTGGTTGAATTAACTAGGTGCTAATTCATGGACGCGTTTTTGGATGGGGTGGCGGGTCGTATGTGGTGGCGGCTCGTATGTGAATTACGTTAGTTAGTTAACTATAACACTATTATATTGTATAAGAGACTGAATATATACTGTATACAATTACAATCCTAAAGAAGCCACCAAATAACTTATGTAGATGATATCATATACCTCCGTACTATGTACCTCTCCATTCATTGGGGGGGGTCGGGAATCCGTCCATTCAAAGACTCCCAAATAACAACTTACACAATCAAGCCAAGCCAATTTCCCAAGGTTAGCCGCGGCCGAACTCCTCCGATCTAGTTTCCAAATGAGAGAGGGTCACTACGGAGTAAGGTCACCGACGCTAAAAACGATCTTCTCCAGGAAGTAAATGGGATTGGCGGTGCAGAACTCCGTAGTCAGTAATTTCCCTAGGGTCTAGAAGGACTCCATTAATATCCGCGTCTCCATACAAAGAACCACAAAAAAACTTGCAACATTACTTAGGTAGGAAGAAGTACATAAATCATAGTAAGAAACAAAACGACAAATGCAAGGGATGTCCTATGACGCGGCGTCTGCACCCCGTAACGGTGTTCGCAAATGGATCAGGTACCCCAGCTCTCCCGCTTGTCCACCCCGAACAACCCCAAGGCTTCGGGTCCCATTTCCATAAGGTTGGGGCTGTTCCCGTCTCTCCACTTGTTCTAAATTGTATGTGTCTGTGTCTGTGTCTGTGTATATTGTAGTGTATATGTTATATGTATATGTTGGATGTTGTACTTCTTACATTCACATGGTCAATCCATAGACTTTGATATACCCATGCTATCCCTGAACAGGCACTACTCTCACCGTACTCCCGTAGCGCCAATCACAATATTTGCTTTTTATCCATAGCTGGGTCGATCACTTAGCCCCCTTCGCATCCAAAGTCTGTTGTATAGACCACTTAGCTTCCCATCCACACGTTGACTCTAATAAAATCCAGTGGCAAACCCATCTCAGCATCCAACAGATAGCATGTCGCCTCACAAGGCGCATCGGGTAGACTCGGTTAGCGCGGGATGTCACCCATCGCCAATCGATAAACTCAACGAAAGGTGTCGCAAGAGGCTTCGAGATTCGCGCAACAACTGCGGTGATCAGAGCCGAAAATGCCAGAGCGGGCTAGAGATCTCCTGGCAAAGTCCAACAGCTGAACGAAAATAGAAGAGGCGTTTTGGTGACCACCACTACTTACTACTCCTACTGAACGTGGCAATCCATTCGCGCTCATCTTCACTGCGGTGATCTTCTGATCTTACAACCTTAATACACCGGAGTAATGAGGCCCGACCTATGGATTCCCTGTATTTTTTTTTTGCACTTCTTGCTCGCTTTGCGTGATCGACAAACCCTGTTTACAAGGTATGGAGGGATGTATAAAGTACTTCGAAGAGCTTCGCCTAACGTGTGCAGATCTGTTGCGGGTAGCTTACTTGGTAGGCGGAGTGAAGTAGATCTCGTTCGAAGGACCAATAGTGCTGCATATCCGGATCGTGATGATGCACGCAGTGTACGAGGCAAGCAGCATGTGTGGATTGGACCCACACAAATGCTCTTGAGTGGCTAATGGAGGCAGCCCGGCTCAGCCATTGAGGTAATCGAACATGACATAGGAATCAAAATATAATTGGAAATGAATTATGGAGATAAACGGTTGTAAGAAAGACGAATGGAGATAATACTAAGAAATGCTATTGTATGTTGTATAGTGTACATAAAACTTGCACAGCCCACCATTTCCCTAAGGGTCCAGATTTGTCAACACGAAACATCGACCAGAAACCACCGATCAGAAAAGAGCGCCAATGTCTCCGCCGATCATAGATAAACCGCGACTATCGGTTCCCTGAATACACGCTACATGAAACGGTAATCGCTCGGCTATGATAAGTGTAGGGTGATCAGGTAGGTACCTACAGCACATGCATGCTCCACTTGAGGCACATATGCATATTTCCATACTCCATACAATATAGTAAAATATAGTGCCGTAAAGCAGGGCGCGGCTAGTAGGGCAAGAGAAAATCAAAACCGGTGTGCTTGCATGCGAAAAAAAGAATAAAAGATAAAAGAAATGAGGCGTCATTCAGAGATACCCATGAGCCTGGTGTTCGGATTCTTTGTTCTCGCGTGCAGACTAGTCTTATTTGTGGAGTGGATGGCTTCCAAATAGGGACGGGCTCGTTTGGGGGCCATATCATATTTGGAATTTGGATATTGATAACTCCACCGTCTTGCCCAAGTGATTGAAATAGGTAAAATGCAGGAGAAGGGAGTCGGAAGCTGTTGGAAAGCTGTTCGAAGCTGCATGCGCATCACATCACGCAAGGACAATGGCTTTCAAGCGGTTACCATAGAGTTCGATAAGGGACTCTGTTTTTCGCTATTTTCTTTTTCCTCTACCTTTTCCCCTTGATCTGAGAAGCTCTGACTACCCCGCATTTTGTTTCATCTTGGCGATTAAGAGAGGATATGACGCTGTCGGGGAGCTCTCTGATTTGGCCCTCTTAGTCTGCCGCTAACAGGATTGGTAATTGTTGGTAATTGTTGGTAATTGGTCGTATACGAAATATGAATCATTCGAATGTACGAAGTACCTAGTACGGAGTCCAATCAAAACGGATTCACAGCGTGAAATAAACAGATCGGACATATCTCCATGTCGATCACCTATACCCATGTGAAGATTGGGAAAAAGTTTACCAGCTCCAAGGACCAAAACAAATATCCTCCACATGCTCCGAAAAGCCACTAAATTAATCTCCGACGCGCGCATGGCGACGCAGTAATAAGAGCAGCTCATTGGACTATCCATATCCCCCACTTTAGACCTAAGGAAGCTAAGAGACCTGTGGACTCTGATTCGGCAATCTGGCTGTTTACTCCGCGAGCTTTCTCACCAAGGAGGCGGTAGACGGTATGAATGTGGTCATGTTTTTTCCAAGCGTGCGTACGGTCGATGATCGATGTTAATATCCCCGGAGTGGAATAGGCCGGAACAAATTCCTCGCATTTTTCGGCCCTTCTGCGCCATTTCCCATTCTCTCGTTCTCGTTGCGCGAATGTCGGTCAACGCCGGGCTTTGCCTATCAGCGCTCGATGATAACTTACCGGCCAGGATGTTGCGACAAGGCGAACAGCCACCACTTGACCCCTTGCAGGCATTTTGACTCTGGTTTCGAAGTTAGACACCACATGTTGGTTCTGAAAGCCAACAACGCCAGTGAGAAGAAGAGAAGAATGTGATCAAATGAGCGGAAAACTTACCGCAAGCCCCTATCACAGCTGACAGCAAAGGAATTCGGTCCTCCTTACTGAACGCCCGGGTGTGTCTTGCCGTAAGAGACACTATCTCCGAGCTCCTATCTAGCACGAATATGTAAATATAGAAGATACAAGATACCTCGCGAGAAAAGAAAAACCAGAAATGACGTATTGGAGTTTGGCGTTTGGAGCTGATTCCGTCCTCCCCCGCAAAAATAAGACAACAATATGTACGAAATTCCCGCAACCCACCGTTTTCCGTGCAAGGGGGTGTTGATAACCGCAACACACGGGGGAACATCGGCTCTATTCTGTACCATCACCGTCCCAGGTTACTTTCAAACAAGCCCGGTGGAGCCTGGCGAGCGAGAAACCCGAGGGTTGAGGGATAACTAGCGGCTGGTGTTGCCTTGGCCTTGCATCATTTGCCAGTCATCTGATGTCCAGCCATGGGCAATGAACCTTGCTCATTCGCAGTGGATGACGTTTTTCTATGGGTTTTTCTTTGTAGGGCCGTCTCGGCCGTCGGGTACGCATGCACGCCTTTGCTGCAACTAACGTGCTATGGAGCACATTCGATAGCGTGGCTTTATAATCCTTTGGTGGATGCTTGGGATATAGTGGTGTTCCGTCCGAGTAAAATTGAGCACGCCCCCTGAGGTCCGCCGGGTACGGGAGGTCCACCGGTGCACGGTCCAGGTGGGAGGTTAGGTAATCGCTTGGTTATGTTTACGTAAGGTGTCTGTCTGCATTTCATACATAACAAACTAGTTATAGTCTATAATAAGAGAGGGAGATCCGAGATTTGCGGTTGATATGGCTGTAGGGCTGGCAAATGCCGACCTTGCAGTTAATCTGGCTTGCATGGCTGACATGGTGCACGTGTCTGGAGCCTGAGCAGCTATAGCCATCGATTGCTTGTCGGCGTTGGTAGATGTTTCATCTAATAGAAGTGTACATAGATATCACTGTAGTCAAGTGGCGAATGACATCCTGTGAGGCGCGCGAGGCGAAACAAGGCCAAGGGTTGATGAGACTGGAGATACCTCCAGCATACACCTCTTTTCTGAAATCCGTACAATCGTAATAATAAATACAATACGGAGTACAGAGCCTGCGAATACGGAGTAAAGCTATTAGCGTGATGCGCAAGGCAGATCTGACCTGGGGCGCAGCGCCACATGTATAGAATACTAAGACAAAAGCACAAATCAGATACATCAGGCAATCAACCTCAGCCGAGAATAGCAATATGTCCGTGATATCCACTAAACCAACTCCAAAGTACCAACTAACCAACCCAGCTCGAACTTTACCAACTCGTCACCCCACGCTCACGATCAAACCCAGCCCGCAACTGCTGCCCGGGCTTGAGCAACTTCCCCTGCAAGACCGTATATCGAATAATATTCTCACACTCTTCGGGCCGCACACGCGCCAGCCAGATTCCCTGCGCCGCACCCTCATCAGGGGCCCGCCCCTCCCCGTCCGCAGGAGCATCCCGCTTGTACCAATCGAAGTTGCGGCGGCGGTACACAATCACATTCGCGGAGTACTTGTGACCGCCGACATGGCTGATGAAGTAGATACCTACGCCGCCGGGCCGTTGGTCGTCCATGTCGCGATATAGACCGAGTGGGCGCAGGTGGCGCTCGAACTCGCGGCGCAGGAGGGGTGCAGATTGTCCGCAGCGCGCATCACGCGTGCGCTGCGAGCAGAGCAGGATTACGGCTGCGTGCGGGCTGGGGTGGGACTTGAGGGAGGTGGGGACTGATGTTGTGGATGGGTGTGGGAGGTCTGTTTGCGTAGGGTCTTGGTCTTGGTTTTGGTCGGCCTCTGTTGGTTTCTCTGGAATTGCACCTAGTGGCGTCGTTGTTGTTAGGGTCCGATTGATGAAGTTCTCGATCAGATCTGGAACTAGCTGTGGGGTGACGTTCTCGACGACGGTGAAGCTCGGCAGCAGGAGCACGTTGGTGGGCTGCTTGCCTGCGTCGGCTATGTGGTATTCATCTGGGACGGGCATATTGGATGCTGACAGCTTGAGTCGCTGTGAAAAGGGGTTGTTAGTCTCTATGTCATTGACTTTGGTAGGAATAGGGATGTCGGGATATTGTCATACCCCGTTGCTCGGTTCCAGTCCTCCCTTCTCAATGGCTTCCATGACGCTCCCTTTCTCGTCTGCCACATCTCGCACCCAATCTGACTTGCCCGTTGCGACGAGCATATGTGTCGCCCATCCGTTGACTTGTCCGTATAGTTCGTCTTGCTGATCGACATCGAATTTTGCGGGGTATTTGATCGTACATGTCGCGCAATCGTGCAGGCAGTCTTCGCCGTCTACCGCTGGATCGACCTTTTTGAAGAGCTTATCGCTCGACGAGACTTTTTGGAAGCCATCTGCAGCGAGGGTATTGTCACCCACAGCGTCGGTGGTGATGTCGGTCCTGGAGGAGGCGGCAGAGACATTGGAGGAGCTAAAGAGGGAGGAAGTCCCGCGACGGAAGAGATGCATTTTACAGGATATTGATATCTTCTTCAACAGTGGAAAAAAGGAGAAGATCTGCTAGTTTGGACTCTTTTTTTGATGACGAGTCGTCGAATGATAAACTGATCTTATCAATCATTTTGCAGGTTTTGCCAAGGACAGGACTCGGAATGTTTTCCGCCTGACTAAGTCCATCCCCACTTCCAAGGCTCCGTTGGCGCAATTGCGTGTCCAAATAGCGTTGCTCTATAGGTAATATACAAGTGTGAATGGAATATTATCATTGCCTACGTCCAGCGTAGTCAATTGTATACGGCAAATCTGTCGGATCTCGTGGCTGCCTCAGACGAATAACACTCCCTCCCGAACTGCCGGATTGGCCCGAGGCCACGCGTCGTAGAGACCTCGTAGAAGGCGTATGAAGAGAGCTTCGTGCCACGGAGGATCCACTGTCCGTTGACAATTCCGATGCGGCACCTTGCCTTGCGGGCGCAGTGTCGTACCCGGACTGGGTCTCCCAGGTAGACGTATTCGATGGGCGAAGGCTGTTACTTCGCATGTACCCTAGAGTCCCGTCATAACCATAAGTCCCGGTATCTGTTTCTCTCTCATCATCCGAGGACTCAATGCTAGATTCGCTATAGGCTCGCCGGGAGCTAGCGCTGTCGCGAATTTCATCCAGGATCGGTGGTGCAAGGGATGTCATCCCCCTCAGAATCTCCGCGAAGAAATGCATCAGGTCGCGGAATTCCGTCTCGTGTAGATCGCGCGTCGAGAATCTGGCTCGTTCGTACAGCGCAAGGAAATCCGCACCGAGTTCTGGCGGATTGATAGCCCCGAGGGACGTCAGATGGCGGATATATTCTCTCAGACCCATTGACGCTGAACGTTGTAATACTTCCACCACGCGTGTATCCGGGAGAGACTGTATCATAAGGTCGCCTGACGGATCGAAGTGGTATGTGGGCGCAGACGATAATGAATCAATAGGGGCAAGGGAGACAGCTTTGGCTTCAATCAAGCTGGGGAGTTCGTGTATGACTGTGCGGTATGGTAGATTCGGTAAGTCTGGCGAGTCTGGCGAAGACCAGCCGGGGTGCTCGACATGGCCCCATGGGGGTCGTTCGGGGTCGATGAGAAGCGATCTGTATTTTTGGAAGCTGTCCTCATCGGTGGAGACGTCGCGCGGGCGGGCTTGATATGCGATGACGGCGCTACGGACGAGGCCTTCCTTTACCAGTCGCCTAACGCTCTTGTTCACATCTTCCTTTTCCACGGGGATCCAGGCTTTGGGTATGCCGGTGAGTGTACTGCGATTCGTGTAGATGCGTGTCGCATAGATGAGGACTGCAAATAGGAAGGTGATCACATATGCGCCGGTAATGAAGAAGATGTTTGTGAGTCGATTAGTCTCGTAGCATTGGTAGATGGCGTCCGCTGGTGTAAGGAGGATGAGGCAGAAAAGGACGATAGCGAAGAAGAAGAAACCGGTTGTGTTGAGAAACCGCTCAATTCTGACTACCATGGCTTCCTGTATGCCAGCTGCACGACATTTGGGTGAGATTTAGCAGATCTCAGCCATAAAGCGTGAGAAGCGAGTATGACGGGAACCTTGGAACAACCCGTCCTGGACTACGAATCCGATAACGATAAGATTAAAGTTGAACACGTGATCTGTGCGATGGGCACTTTCCCCGTTCGGTGGATTTTCAACAAGAGACATTGACAGTGCTCACTTCGGGGGATTCATTTCATCTCAGGTGCTGCTGATTGCCGCGTGTCTTTTCCATTGCGACAACGCGCAACAACCCCTCCAGCTTCAGCTTCAATCGTTGAGCATCTTATCACGTTAACCCCTATCTCCGATATCAAGAAAATTGCCGAGTCAACAAACTCGCCGAAGCAACAAGCCATGGATCAGGTCAAGTCCGCTGAGCAGCAAAATATGTTGCACATCCTGGTGACAGGAGCCAACAGGTGCAAACCTCTCAATATGCCAACTCAGCTCAATTCCCTATACTAACTTAGACCATCCAGCGGCCTCGGATTCTCTATATGCTGCCGCCTTGCCGACGAATTCCTCTCCTCCCACCCAGAATCCGAATCCCTCACCATAATATTCACAACTCGAAGCGCGCGCAAAGCTCAAGAGACAATTCGCAGACTAGAAGCACACCTCCAATCAACCTCCCCCTCCGCATCTGCCGCCGCGCGCGTCCACTTCGTCTCAGAGAGCGTCGACCTCGGCGATCTCCGCTCAGTGCGCGAACTTTCCCGAAAACTAGTGCACACTCTCCCCCGACTCGACTCGATTGTTCTGAATGCCGGGCTGGGCGGCTGGTCCGGCATCAGTTGGCCTACGGCCATTTGGGAGGTTTGCACCGATCTCCTCCACGCGGTGACTTGGCCATCCTATAAGCTCGCGCCGACGGGCGTGTTAACAGACAAACAAACAAAGACGGAAGAAGAGCCCGCGCTCGGAGCAGTCTTTTGCGCAAATGTCTTCGGGCACTATATGCTAGCGCACAACCTGGTTCCACTGCTGAAGCGGGCGCACACAAACGGGCCTGGCCGTGTGGTCTGGGTTTCCAGTCTCGAAGCGACTTGGAACTTTTTCAAAATCGACGATATTCAGGGTTTGCGCACTGATGCGCCGTATGAGTCTTCTAAGGCTCTCACTGACATCCTCGCGCTGACTTCCAATCTGCCGAGTACGGCCCCCTGGGTCGTCGATAGCTTCTTGCAATCCGAGACGGAACTTGACACACATGCTATCCACACAAATGCCCCCGACGCGACCCCGCGCATGTATCTCTCCCACCCTGGTATCTGCGCCACATCGATCATCCCGCTTATTCTTCCCCTTGCGTGGGCGATGATCGCTGCTTTCTGGACTGCGAGGATGCTGGGTTCGCCCTGGCATCCATTGTCTACTTATCTCGGCGCATGTGCTCCTGTCTTCCTCGCGCTGGCATCGCAGGCTGACGTGGAAGCGGCCGAAGAGCCTTACCACCGGGCTGGTGGTGGTAGAGCGAAATGGGGTTCTTCTTGCGGGCGTCTTGGCATTGAAAGCGCGGTTTCTACTGAGGTCGACGGCTGGGGACATGGAGGTGTTATCGGCACACCTGTTGTTGAGGCTGATCAGCTCCGACGTCGTAAGCGCGGCGCAGAAGATCTTACCAAGGAAAAGAGAGAAGAGTTCGAGGAACTTGGACGCCAGTGCTGGAAGCAGATGGAAGAGTTGAGAATTCAGTGGGATGAGATCCTGGATCGAGCTGAGGCTCATTCCTAGACAGTTCAAAGACAAATAACGACTTTGTCAAAGACACAATATGCTTCTCTTAAGTCAGTTTCCTGCTTAACTGATTCAAGCAGAACAGCTTCAATGACTGTATGTAATTTATCCCCAGATATGTATCTAATAGTCCACCCATGATACTTCTACAAAGATATCTGATATGAAACATCTGAAGAATCGTGTTAAAGATCAACTAAACTTGTATCTTTTTTTGCGAATTTCGCCTCCCATTATTTACATCAACAGAACCAGCCCACGCCCATGTTCTCATTAAAACGGATATGGCATGATTTCTTTGCCCATCAATTGCCAGAAGACTAGCAGTAATAAAAAAAAAAATCGAAAAAATTGAATGAAAACAAGTGGCCAAGCGCAGGGGAGCGGGGATGTAGCCACGAAACCCTCAATATGTAGCACTAAAACGGGGATAGCTCGAAGGATAAACGTAGACGAACAAAACTAAAAGAAGTTATTTCTTGCAAAACAGCCGAAATCGCACGCTTTCACCATCTAGGTTTCTAAGTGCATTATCGGACGGAAGGGAGGAAGTTGTGAGGGCGATAAACCGTCAAGGAAGAAAAAGGCAAGCCGACAATAGAAGAGAAGACAGAAGAAACGCAGTAAACGACTCCGGTTCTATGCATCAAGAGGGCGGACTGGAGGGTGGTATCGGCACGAGAGTTGAAGGGAGGTATTTCAAAAGGCATAGCGACGTGAAGGAAGAGGGGGAAGTAGGAAAGGGATTACATGATGATCGCGGGAACTGTACAATTAATTAGTATATGTTTGTTAGGGATAGTGATCAAAAACGAAAACTTACCATCAATGTTCTGCTTGATGCTCTTGTGGGGCAGAATCGAGCCACCGTTGACATATACCTCGTCGGCGATGGTAACGTCGTCCCCGAGAACTGTAACGTTCTCCAGACGCGCCCAGCGTCCAACAGAGCTGTTCCAGCCAACAATGGTGGACTTGATCCAAGCGTGGTCCTTGACCTTGCAGTTCTCCATTATAACGCAGCGTTGAAGACGGACACCGTCGCCGACAACGACGTTGGGCCCAATGACTACATTAGGACCAATACGGCAGTTCTTGCCGATCTTGGCGGTGGGGTCAACCATGACATTTCCGCCGTAAACGTAAGGCTCTGTGTGAGGGGCAAGCATCTTGGGGTTGCGCTTGGCCAGGGAAGTAAGGTACAGGCAAGTACCGGTGAGGAAATCCTTGGGCTGACCGACGTCCATCCAGAAGCCCTCGAGATCGTAGGAGTGAAGCTGGCCCTCCTTACAGATGGCGGGGAAGGTCTCCTGCTCGATGGAGGTCGGGCGGAGCTCAATGCGCTTTAGAACACTAGGGTTCAGAATATAAATACCGGCGTTGATGCGGTTTCCGACGAATTCGACGGGTTTCTCGACAAAGCGGTCGATGCGCGAGGCATGGTTGGGCTTGTGCACGACAACGCCATACTTGGAGGGCTCGTCAACTTTAGTGACGACAATGGTGCCCTCATCACCGTGGCTTTTGTGGAATTCGGCAAGCTCTTTGAAGGGGTAATCGCAAATAACATCCGAGTTGAGCACGAAGAAAGGCGAATCGTCCTTGCCTAGGATCTCCTCCGCCAGCTTGAGCGGGCCAGCCGTGCCCAGCGGTTCGGACTCGACGGAGAACTCAATGTTGACTCCGTATTGCTCCTCGTACTTCTTTAGAGCTGCGACCATCACATCCGGGC